TTTCTGGGCCAGTTTTGTCTCGGATTTGCCACTCTGTCCTGCTGCTTCTGTCAAAGTCCAGGTCCAACAAGAAAACTACCTACTGAGCTCTGGTTGCATAGCTGGCACTGAGGCAGCTATCGGTAAGGAGTTTTATCCCATTTAAAACCTTCCTCCCAGCCTGAGCTGGTCTGGCTCAGTGGATAGAGCGTTGGCCCGTGGACTGAAGGGTTGCAGGTTCGATTCCAGACAAAGGCACATACCTCAGTTGCAGGCTCCATCCCCCGTGCACTCCATCCCCCGTGACAATCAATCAATGTGTCAATGTTTCTCTGTGTGTGTGTGTGTGTGTGTGTGTGTGTGTGTCCCCACGCTCTAAAAATCAATGGAAAAATATCCTCAGGTGAGGATTAACAAAAAACAAAACTTTAACAATAAATAAATAAATAAAACTGCCACCCCTACCCCACCCCCGCAAAAAAAAACCCGGTTATTATCCCATCTGCATTTAAGGAAGCAGAGAGGTGACATACTGGGCCCCAGGTCACACGGCTAAGACCTGGCTGGAGCCACACGCTTATCTGATGCCCCAGGAAGGCACAGGGCCACTGGGCTCTCCCAGCTCCCACCACCAGAGGTGGCCATATATGAGACACCAAAGGCAACTTCTGGCCACATCACTCCTCCTCCGCCTCCTCCCCTCCATGGAGGGGGTGCCCCTCAGCTGCCCTGGCTGATTCCAGATCCTCCTGGTGCCTGATCTGCAGGATGAAGCACCTGGGCCCTGACAGCCCAGCTCAGAGGCACCCCAGCCTGGGCAGTGACTGCAGAGTGAGAATCTGATGGCAGGTTCTAGTTCTGGGAGGCCAAGATCAGGAGGAAGAGCTGGTCTGAATCGGGGCACTTCCCAGCAGTGTGAGTCAGAGCAAGTGCCTCTCACTTCTGAGCCTCGGTTTCCTCATCTGTAGAGTGGGGCTAGCGACCTCGGCCTGCCCTCCATGCCCCCTCGGGCCAGGCCACCCCTGGCTGTTTATTGTGTTCTACCAAGGCAGGCAGAGAGCTGAGGATCTTGAATACCAGGCCCACGTTCATCTTAAAACAGCCCCAAGAGAAAGAAAATATCGCTTCTACTTTACAGGAGCATTGGACAGTGGAGGACTCTTAGCTGGTGGGAGATTTTTTGGGTTTTGAACTCCCACCTTAGCTGGGCTTTTTCCAATGGGCCAGAAGTACCTGCTTGGAGATTTGGATGGGTGTCTACAGCATAAGGTGGGGAGTTGGGCAGGCGGAGAGTTCTGGACTGATCCCCTGGGACTCCAGCCTTTAAGCATCCACAGTGAGTCCAGAGCCCAGCTACCCCACCGCCTGCAGAGAGCTCCATTCTGGCCAGAGGACACAGGACAAAGGAGGCAGCAGGGTCGCTTGGCTCCAACTCCCAAGCCTGCCCAACTTCTGGGAAAGTAAAGGGACTGCCTTGTGCTCACTCCACAATGATTTTTCAGCTTCCGAGGAGCAAACGTGGGGGCTTTCATGAGGTCCCATATGCCCTCAGAACATTCACCCATCCACCCCAAGCTGGACCCTCTCCAGGCTCCAGGAAGCAGAAGGAAGTGAAGAGGGCACTGGCCTGGGCGCCTGAGGGCCTGGCTCCACCCCTGGCCAACCACGTGACCTCGGCAGGTCCATAACCTTAGGGGACCTCCGTTTCCTCACCAATAAAAGGGGCACAGAATACCTGCGACCTCGGAATGGAATCGCTGTGGGCAAAGGCGGGAAAGTGCCACAGAGAAGTCAAGCGGAGAACCTACCCAGCTCAGGAGGAGCTGTAAGCCCTCTGGCCTCTGTGCCAGCTCCCGCCCACCCTTCCCCCAGCCCAAGACGCCCTCCTGGAAGCCCACCAAGACTCCTGACCCCACAGAGCCCCAACATCACGCACAGAACACAGCTTAGCACCTGATTTCATTTGAAATTACTGTGTCAGCTGAGTGCAGACTTCCTGAGACAAAGCCCCTCTGTACAGAGCTAGGTCCCTGTCAGGTTCTATTGAAATGGGTTCTTGAAAATCCCAGCTTTCTACACAGCAACAGAGGCTAGACCCTGAGAATTGGAGTTTAGTAATTAAGTCATGGCCCCAGGGCCAGAGAGGCCCAGGTACAAATCCCGGCCATTGCTTAACCTCCCTGTAGGTTAGTGTCCTCGTCTGCAGCATGGGGAGGGAGCACCGCAATGCCCACCACAGGCCCAATGCAGTGAGACTCGAAGCTGCCGCCCTGCTGACTGTGGACATGGCTGGAGGGGTCTGACGCTGAGAGGTGCAGGGGTGAGGGCACCATCCCCACAGCCCATCCTGAGCCACCGTGAGCCCCCTTGGTGAGGATCCATGGGGAGACTGTAGGGCAGGGGTGGGCAACCCCTGGCACGCGTGCCAAACATGGCACACCAGTAACTTTTGCTGGCGTGCGAAACCCTCTCTTACAATCTTCCATTTACAATTTTTTTCTTAATATCGACTTTTTTATTTTTCACATAAATTCAGTGTAGGTGCATCTTAGATAAAGAAATAATTTTACATAATAAGTTATCTTAAAGACCATAGACATGGATTGACGAGAGAGGGGAAGAGCAATTTCTATGCCTCCGCCTTAACTCTCTCTGTCATCAGTGATGCAGCAGCAAAAGTCCCACTGATAATATCAAACGTAGTCATAAAGTTTTCTGTCGGACTATCAGTGTACATGTATACATTAATAAATAAATGTATTTTTCATCATCATATACTGTGTTTTTGTCGCTCGAATGAATTTTATTATTTCTTCAAGGTTCTTCAAATACGTACACCTTAGGAGATATCAAGTAGGTGTAACATGTTCTCAAAAAATTAGGGTTGGCACGCAGAAGAATTTTGAGTCAGAGATTTTGCTGGGTTTGGCACGCACTCACAAAAAGGTTGCCCACCCCTGCTCTAGGGGCAGCAGAGGAGGGGACCCAGGCCCCACCTATGTGGCACCTCCTTCACGAAAAGGCACCTCAGTAAGTCCTGAGGGCTCGTCACGGATGCCTCAGGCCGCCATGGCTGAGGGCTTCCTGCTTCCAGGAGGCACCGGCAATCTGCACACCTGCCAGATGCCCCAAGGGTAAGCACAGTCTGTGAGCCAGAAGATTCCCTGCTCCTCTCACCCACCCCGCAAGGCCAGGCTTCCCCTGCGAGTCCCTCCCACCTGGTCCTGGAGCAGCCCGGCACATGGGCCGGGCCCAGCTGCGCACACATGGCCTTCACATGAGGCGCAGGGAGGGCCCGCTGCAGCTGGGCTGGTGGCATGTGCTGAGCCTGACCATCTGCCCCGCACACCCACCATCTTGACCTCGTTGTCACGCACCCCCCAGACCAGAGGGCCTGGCCCCCACCTGCAGGGCTTTGGCTAGGCAGCCATTCCCGCATGCTCCCTTCCTGGTGCACAAAACAGGATGGCTTCCGTGTGCTGAGGGCGGACAGCTCTCGGGCATTCCACAGACTGAGGAGCAGAGCTGTCAAGAGCAGCCTGGGCACAGGAGTGACTCACTGACACCGATTCGAGGCAGGCTCTGCAATGACGGTGGTACAAGCTATGCAGGCTGCGGCTGCACCATGCCAAGGAGGCACCAGCACACTGGAGTCTAGTGAATGGCATGCCAAGGAGGCGTGCAGTGCAAGACCTGCGAGGCTTCCCTCACCTGGCATAAGCTCCCTGAACCTCAGTCCCGCCACCTCTAATATAGTCTCTTCGCACTGAAAGAGGAGGCCAGAGGGAGAGAAAGGGCCCTGAACTGGCAGTCAAAGGACCTCAGTGCCAGCCCTGCCCCGCTACCCACCAGCTGTGCTGCTCTGGGCATGTGGCCTCCCCAATCTGGGAAGCAAGATGAGCAGGTGGACAGCCTCCTGTCATCCTTCCGTCCTTAGGGGTGGGTTGCAGGATTCTATAGGCTGCCGCCCTCCCGAGGCATTCAGATGCTGGCTACTGGTTGAGGGCAGGACTGAATGCTCCACTGGGCCCACTGCCCAGGGTCCCAACTGGCATGTGGCTCAGCCTGGTCTGTGTCAGCTACTTGACCCCCCACCCTCACCCCAATTCACTGAGCAAACAAACATCTTAACCCAAATCCGTGGGTGGCACTTTGGCTGAACAGTCATGGGGCTTTCCCCCAGCAGTTCAATTCCCTTCCCATGGATGGACACAGGCACCACTGCCCGCCCCACCCACAGAAGGAAGAGCAGAGTGTGATCCAAAGAGAAGATCACGCTTTCTGAACTGTTTTGTTGCTGGCGAAAGCCCTGAGAGGTTGAGTAACTTCCCTGGAGTCACACAGGAAGTCAGCTGCTGAGCAAGAAAAAAACCTGACTACTCAAACCAGTAACGCCCACCCCTGCCCTTCTCCATTCCCTGTGCAGGTGGGAGCAGGGGGCCCTAACCACCTCTTCTCAGGTCTCCCTTCTCTCTAAGATGAGAAGCCTAGAACCAGAGGGTAATCTTGTCTAGAAAGTGTTATTGTAAAAGTGCCCTTTCCACCCATCCGCTGCAAAAGACACTGTGGGGTGAGAGCTACCACCACCAGCCCCAAACTGAGAAGTCCCTGACCCACCCCAGAACTGCCTGCTTCACCGGAGAATGGAGGGCAGCGGTGGAGGGGATCCCCTGGGAAGGCTCTCACCAGCCAGCTCTGGGAGGCCGCCCCTGGGGAGAGGAAGCAGGCTTGTAGCCCGAGGCATTCAGGACGCCAGGGCAAGGGGTGCAGAGTCCGAAAGCAACCTGAGTGCAGGGGCAGCCCTCCTGGGAGATGGGGGCTGAGGAGGGACTGTGGGACCCGGCTGTTCCCGCAACCCCAGGACCTCCCTTCTCGGCGTTCTGGGCCTCCCCGGGCACTCACGCACCCACTCGGGCAATCTTCCCCGACCATCTCAGCAGCCCGAAGCGGTCTTCTCCCCTTCCCCGGCCGAGACACATTCCCACATCCCCCCTTTCCACTCCCCACCGCCCCCAAGGAACTCGGGAGACAAATACTCGCGGTCATAAAAGTTAACTAGGAGTGCCGAAGTCTGACGCGCAGGCAGGGTCACCCCGCGGGGAGGGGAGGGGCGGGGCGGGGCGCGGACGACCAGAGCACGCCTCGGGGGGACCTTCACCCCCACTTTGCAAACTAAGAAACGTACCAAGGCTGTAGCAAAGGTCACTACTCCAGGAGGACGCAAACCTGCCTGGGTCCTGGGGCCCACGGGGCGGGGACGACTTGCCCCTCACAAACACCCCTAACCCTCCAAAGTCCCCCGGGCACTCGCCCACCCGCTCGGGCGCTCTTCCCCGGGCGCAGGGAGGACGTGCGGCTGGGAGCCGGTACCTGCTTCCGCAGCGCCTCGAAGGCTGCGCTGATGGTGTGCACCCGCGTCCGCTCCCGGGCGTTCGCCAGGAGCCTCCGGGTCTGCTGCAGGGCTTTGATCTCCGAGGAGGCGGCCGTGGCTTCGCCTGGCCGTTTCCTAGGCGACGCGGAGGAATCCGGATGGTTATTGTAAATTACGTGTGAAATTGACGAGTAG